AGGTATGCACTACCAAGCGAGATGTGGTAGTGCATTCCTGTAGTCCCAGCACTTGGGAGGCAGAGGCAGGCAGATCTCTGTGAGTTCAAGGCCTGCCTGGTCTACATAGTGAGTTCCAGGCCAGCTGGGGCTACAGGGAGACCCTGTCTCAAAAAGACCAAAAAAAAAGGTGTGCACTACCACCTGACCTTTGGGGGGTGATTCTTTTTGAGGCAGGGTCTCCCTGTAGCCCCAGCTGTCCTGGAACTATGTAGACAAGGCTGGCCTTGAATCACAGTGATCTGACTCTGCCTCCTTAAGTGCTGGGATTAAAGGCATACACCACTACACCTGGCCCCTTACTGTATTTTTTTTTAAGTTTATATTTTAAAATTGTGTGTGGGCCAGTACCCACAGAGTCTAGAAGATGATGTTGGAGCCCCTGAAGGTGGAATTACAGGTTTGTGAGTCACCCAATGTGGTTACTGGGAACCAAACTGGGGTCCTCTGTAAAAGCAGTATGCACTTTGTTGTTTATTTTTTGAGACAGGGCCTTCTGTGTGGCCTGGCTGGCCTAGAACTCACTATGTAGAACAGATTTGCCTTGATCTCACAGAAATATGCTTTCCTCTGTATCCTCAGTGTTGGGATTAAAGGAATGAGTCCAAAAATTTATTATTCTTTTTTTTTTTTTGGTCTTTTTGAGACAGGGTCTCCCTGTAAGACCCAGCTGTCCTGGAACTCACTATGTAGACCAGGCAGGCCTTGAACTCACAGAGATCCACCAGCCTCTGCCTCCCGAGTCCCCGAATGCTGGGATTAAAGGCGTGCGCCACCACGCCAAGCCAAAAATTTATTATTCTTAAAAACTATGTATATACGTGTAGAAGTACGTGCATGAGTATAGTGCCTGTGGAAGCCAGAAGATGGTGCTGAATTCATCTGGAGTTGGAGTTACCAGTGGCTGTGAGCATGCTGGGAACCAAACTCATGTTCTCTGCAAGAGCATTATGTACTCTTTAACTGTTGAGCCATTTCTCCAGCCTGTTTTTGTTTGAATTTTTGAGAGGGTTTCATGTAGTCCAGGTTGGCCTCCAACTCACCATGTAGCTGAAGTTGGCCTAGAATTCTAGATCCTGCTTCCATCTGCCAAGTGCTAAGGACTTTTAAATAAGAAATGAAAGCCTCTCAGAGCCTGGCTTATGTAGCCATGGGACAAAGGGAAGCAGAATTGAGTAGCAGAACTGCTGATCCTTGAGACAAAGGCTGCACATAATCGAAGCAATGGGAAGAAGAGCAATCCCTGAGGGACTGGTTCATACACACCATTAGAAACACTTGGTTATTTCCAGTTGAGGTCCTCATGAACACTAAACAGTAGAGGAAGGACAGGCATTTGAGGGAAGCAGACATATTAGTAGTGATTTTTTTTGTTGTTGCTGTTTTGTTTTTTTTGAGTCAGGGCCTTCCGGTAGCCTCAACTAGCCTAGAATTTGCTATGTAGACTAGGCTGGTCTAGATCACCACCATGACCACCTGAGATATGTTTTTGGATGCTGAGTTCACAGGGCCTGCTAAGGCTGTGATCATAGGAGTCTTTTTTTTTTTTTTCTTTTTGAGACAGGGTCTCTTTGTAGCCTCAGCTGGCCTACAACACACTATGTAGACCAGACTGGCCTTGAATTCAGATTCGCCTGCCTCAGCCTCCCAAGTGCTGGGACTAAAGGTGTGTGCCACCACACCCAGCTACATTTCTCACTTGAAGGCATGTTAGGGATGGAGTCACCCAGCCCAGGGCCCTTTCAACAGCCAGGTGTGGCGAATGAGGCAGCAGCAGTCATACGGGAGGACCAGATCCTGTCAGATCCTGAAAGCCAGCAGGACAGCAGGTGAGCACAGCTTCACTTGCCCCTTGGCCTCAAGTCCCTGCCCCCCCAGGAGTTAGAGGAGAGATGTACAGTAGCCCCAGCAACACCCCAGGATGAGGAGGTGGGATGACTCAGAGATGCATTATGGATTATAGAGATCTAGTTAAGGTAGTGCTCCCATCCAAGCTGCTATCCCTACACTGCTCTTTTGAGGAAACTAATACAAGCAGTGAGAACTTTCATGTCCTAGCCTCGCCCCCCGACCCTTGAATTCTCTTAGCTACTGAATCCTAAGACCAACTGGCACTTGGTTGGAATGCATGATGGACAGAAATCCTGCCTACCCTCTGTTTAAAAAAGAAATTGATTACATAATGCTAACCTGTGTGTCATAAATTTAGGCCAGCCTGGTCTACATAGTGAGTTCCAGGACAGCTGGGGCTAAAAGGAGACCCTGTCTCAAAAAAAAAAAAAAAAAAAAAAAAAAAAAAAAAAAAAAAGACAAACAAACAAAAAACGTCTGAAATAACTTGCATGTTAAAAGGAGCTAGGATGGAAAACTGGTACAGGGAACAGGGGTCAGGCACAGCTATGAAATTCCTTGGGCCGTTCATGGTTGGGTAAAACACAGATGATGCCAACTAGGTGATTGAGAAAAATCCTAAAACAGCCTGTGTCTATAAATGTAAATATGTACGTCAGTAAATGCAGAAGTAACCTCTGTGGGTGGGAAAAGGCACATTCAGAAGACAAGATCTTGGGGCCTGGAGAGATGGTTCAGTGGCTAAGAACACTGGCTGCTCTAGCAGAGGACCTAGGTTTGGTCTTCAGCACCCACATGGCAGCTAACAACTGTCCTTAACTCCAGTTCCAGGGGATTCAAAGCTAGCTTCTGGCCTCCGGGCATTGCAGGAATGTGAGGCACTGACATAAATGCAGGAAAAACACTCATACACATAAAATAAAAATAAGTCAGAAGACAAAGTTTTTGAAGGGTAATCCCAGTACCCAGGGGTGTTACCTTTCTACAAGTTGTTGGCTCCTGATGCCACAAAGACAACTGCTACTATTGTTAGTTGCATACCAGAACTGGATGGTAAGCCCTTATTGCTGAAGATACCATAAACTTTCTTGTAGGACATGGAGAAATCTGATTGGGACTGAGCTATAAGTTCCCTCCCTACCAGATGCTATGCACGCTTCTGGGGAATTGCTGCCAAAGGTCCTACTGGCTATGGGCACAGCCAATGTGTTAACATTAGCATGCCAGGCAAGATGTTCTTGCTGGTGCAACAATGGTATGACTGCTGTGACTGCACCGATTGCTTTCCAAAGGATCAAAGACCTGTCCCACAGGAGTGAACCTATGTTTAGCACTATAAGACGAAAATCTGTGGCTGATGACATCATAACCTAGTAGGGAAGTTACTGCTTTTAAGATGATTGTTGCTGCTGACTTTGAACAGGGCAGCTTTTAAAAAAAAAATACTTTATTCTTTTTATGAGTGTATTGCCTACATGTATGTAAGTGTACCTGTGTTGTGCAATGCCATGGAGGTCATAAGGGGGTGCTAGATTCCCTGAACTGGAGTTATGGACAGTTGTTAGCCACCATGTGGATGCTGGGAACCAAACCTAGGTCCTCTGCTAGAGCAGCCAGTGTTCTTAACTGCTGAGTCATCTCTCTAGCTTGAAGAGTGCTAGGGTTAAAGGCCTGTGCCACCACACATAGCTGGGAAGCTTTTTTGCAGTGAGCTGTGTTTATTGCAGAGACCCATAACCAGTTGAAGTACTGAGAATAAGTACTTGCTACGGCCTATCAGCTCAATATTCAGCCCTAAATGTGAGAAAATAATTATATTTGTATCTTTCCATGGCTCAGGGAACACCATGGAAGAGGTGATGGAAAGAGCTGGAGAAAGGGGTGGATTACTACTGTAGGACTGTTCTTTAGGCATGACATGGCCACTACCCTCTTGAAAGCACAGCAATTTTTTTTTTTTTTTGGTCTTTTTGAAGCAGGGTCTCCCTGTGGCCCCAGCTGTCCTGGAACTCACTATGTAGACCAGGCTGGCCTTGAACTAACAGAGATCCACCTGCCTCTGCCTCCCAAGTGCTGGGACTACAGGCGTTGCACCACCATGCCCGGCAGCATTTTTTTTTTTTTTTAATTTTAAAAATATTTTTGTTTTAGGTGTATTAGTGTATTGCCTGCATGTATGTGAGCGCACCAGTGTCGTGCAGTGCCTGAGAGGTCAGAAGAGGGCTTCAGATTCCCCTGGAACTGGAGTTAAGGATGGCTCATAGCCACCATGTGGGTACTGGGAATTAAACCTGGGTCCTCTACAAGAGCAGTCAGTGCTCTTAACTGCTGAGCCATCTCCCCAGCCCCGAAAGCAAAGAAGTTTTAATTAATTGCTTGAGACACCCATAAAATTGGGCCTACTAACATTACTCCATGGAAAGGAGGACCACAGAGGCAGCACCTGAGACTCCTCCCCTCCCGATGGAGAAGAGGTTAGACCCTTGCTGAGGTGGCACCCCCTCCTTGATTGTGAAGCTGCTTGTAAGTTGCTCTCTGGGTGGCACTACTTCTCTGGTCTATTTCGACTGCTCTATCTGGGGTGAATATTCTCCAGACATCTCCCCAGGAAAAACCATGCAACACTGGCCTAGCCTCCTTCCCCTGCCCTCCCCCAAATCAGAGCCTGCTCTCAGATGGATTGAATAGAAGAAACTCAATGAGATGGTTAGCCCTTCCCCAGCATCAAAGGGCACACAGTATCCATGGGGGAGGACTCGGCATCAATGGCAGGAAGGTGGCAGGGAAATCAACAGGTCTCAAGAGCTAATTTCTCAAGGGCAGACTGAGGGAAGGCACTGTCCTCAGAGAATCAGGGTAGGGGCCACAGCCAGGTACATGGTTCTAGCCCAGGGCCCTTTCCCAGAAGAGGGAACCTGACACACTGGCCAGGACACACTTGATGTCATCATTTTTATTTTTCTCTTTTTGAAAATAAGTGTAAACATACAATACATATCCTCTATTTATATATATTAAATATATTTTCTGCAGGGGTCAGACAATATCCCCAGCCACTTGGAAACAGTTTTGTATTCTGATCTTTCTTTGTGGAGGGAAAAAAGTGTCCATGACTGCCAAAAGCAGAATCTCTTTATTATGAAACAGCAGTGACAGAAAAACCTACCATGCTGCTATACACACAGAGACTGGGGACCCAGAGGAGGGCAGCAGATGCTGGAGAACCCCACAGAAGCCCACATGGGAAACATACCCACCGACCCATTACCCCATCCTTCACCCTATCTCTGTTCCAAGAGCCCTGAATTCACTGAGGGGACACCAAGGATGTTTTATAAGCAGTGACCATCCTCAGGGGCATGGGGGAATAGGGGCAGCAGCTGCTGAGGGAACAGAATCCCATACAGGGCTCTCGGAATTCTCTCTGGACCATGTGGATGGTCACAGGGTCCCGACTGGTGAATATGGGGTGGATGGTGCTGGCCCAGGTTACTCCTTTAGGCTCAGCTCTGCGTGTTGCCACCTCCAGCCCCTGGAGTCTCAAGACCCTGACAAGCAGCAATATGGGCACCCAGAAGACCCTACCCAGAGACTTGAGGTGGCAGTGAGGGTAGGGCAGGGATTATGGGTCCAGAACTCCAAAGAGTTACATGCTGACCCCCAGGCACAGGGAAGAGCACCCTGTAGCCTCCTATACAGCTGCTGTGCTGGTTCTATTTCCTTTGATCCTCTTCTCACTTGACCCCACATCAGTAGTAATGAAAGAGAAAGCGGCCACTGGAGCACAGGGTGCAGAGATTTTACTCCAGGAGGGGGCATAGCCCCACCCTGGGCCCCCAGTGGCCCTGCAGTTAGGACCAGGGAAGTCTTCTGGGTGGTCAGGAGCCCCGCCTCACCCTCCCTGCAAAAGTAATGAGGAGGAGGTACAGCCAACCTCAGGGGCTACACAATAGGGCTGGCAGAAGGCTGGGGTAGATGCTGGAGGGACCTCAGTTCTTGAGAATGGTCTCGTAGGCCTGGTACACATGCTGGGATACCTCTGGTGCTCGACACTTCAGGGACAGCTGCAGAAGAGGGTAAGGACAGAATTCATCCCTGGGGCTCTTCAGAAGGGGAAGGGAGAGAGCGCAAGCACCAGATGGAAGAGCGAGTGAGCGAGCAAGCGAGTGTGTGTGGACAACACACACATGGCAGCTGAGAGTAGGGCAGATGTTAGGTACAGCAGAGGGGGTGGCCGTCATAGTCAGGTGGGGACCAAATATATTTCCAGCCCACACACCTGCTGTCAGCCCTGCCAGCAGATCCCCACTGGCAGGCGGCATGATTCACAAGCCTGAGGCTGCAGCAAGTACCTATCCTCAGTGCTGAGGTCAGAGCCTTGAGATTCTAGGCACAGAGGACAGTAGCTAGCCACCCCTTCCATTTGAGAGCATCAGGTCTCAAGGGTCTCAATTAGGAAGGGGGGGCAAGCAGTGTTCTGGAAGTCAGCAGCAGTGGTCCACAGAGGGGTCCACAAGCCGCCTTTGAAGGGCTCCGCATACTGTGCATGTGGAAGTGGTTGGAAAGTCCTAGGTGGTGGCAGTCTGCACGCACATCTGCTGGGCCTTGGGAGCAGCAGGGTGAAGCAAGGCCAAGAAGACGGGGTGTAATAGGAAAGCTGGGTACAGTGCAGCCAGGCCAGGAGATGGGGCATGCGCAATATTGCTAGGGAGGATGGGGGGTAGGCAGAGGAAGAGAAGCAATCTGCTAACCTCCAAGTCCTGTACCATGGGCACCAGCAGGGAAGGTGGACATGCAGCAACCAAACAGGGAAATGGAAATTACCACCACCGCAGTCACTGCCACTGCCCCACCCACCAGTACCAAGGTTACCCAGCAAGGTGCTGGGAGGTAGTGACTGCCAGACTCAAGTACATGGGAGAAGCAAAGCCTGGACTCGGGACCTGCTAATAGCAGCAAAATTTACAGAACTAGGCACCGCTGGAAGTTATTTCCTGGTGGTGCTGCCTCAAGGCCTGGAAGCATGGGCTGTTGAGAATCAATGTTGTCCTGGCCAGGCACTCAGGCACATGGCACTAGAGCAAAAGCCTTTCCCAGTTGGAGTGTGTGCATGTGTCCTTTGGTGTCTTATCTGGATAATTTAATGGAGGAGTTGAAGTTTGTAGAAAGTTTAGAGAACTGATTCTTCTGCTAGGTTCAAAGGAACCTTGGCATTATGACCCTCCCCAACACAGCCCCCCAACTCCATGACTGGGACGCGCTGTCAGAACAGGCCCAGGGGTTCTCACCATGAAGCTAGGGTTGCCTGGCTGGATCCGCAGCTCCGCCAGCACCCAAATGCCGTTGGTCAGCTTCAGGGACTGGTAGAGCATGTCCTGGCCCTCCACATTCCTCTTTGCAATGGTGAAGATGTTGCTACTCTGCAGCTTGCCGCTTGCAGCCTCTGTGGGATCACAGCCATGGAAGGTCAGTAGTCAGTAGGGCACAGAGATGGGTATAGGTGAGATGGTATGCAGTACAGGGCTGGGGAGTCTCACCCGTGTTTAGGGGGCAGTCTCTGATCTGGAACTGGGCTTCATTCTCATTGGGAATGTCTTTCCACGTGGCCAGGAACATCTGCCTGTCTGTAGGGTGAGTGAGTGGGATATGGGTTAGAGAGAAGACCCTAATAAACTGTGGCCCCTCAGCATCACATGCAGGAAATTGGCCTGGTCTTCAAACTACTACCTAGAAGCTGTGTGAAGGCACTGGTGCCTCCACAGTCCTATCTTGCTTCCCTCAGCAAAGCATCAGCTCAGGATGTATGTCTGTTCCCAACTGTCCCCAGCTTCTTGTCTCTCCTCCTCTTCACCCTCTATCTGTCCTCTTCCTCCTCCACCCCGTGCAGCCTAGTTACAGCTCTGTGGCAAGGACTATGACGTTGTCACATACAGCTCAGCTCAGGATGAGCCCTCCCTGCAGGTTCTCAGAGTTCTGGCCCCAGCAGAGAGATGGGCATGTGGTATATGGCACGATCAACCTGGATCTTTGCAGCCCATGGGACAAGCTGAGGGGTGAGCAGGAGGCCCATGAGTAAAGTGGCGTAGGCCACCTGCAAGCCAGAGTTCGGGCCCCCAGGCTCTGCAGAGAAGCCCATCAGGGAGTAAGACTGTCCTGTTGATTCTTATTAGATCCATTAGCCTCCCCAGTTTCTTTAGCTGCAGCCCTACTGCACAGACCGCCCCCCCCCAGGGCCCCTCACAACTCACCCATCTTCCCATCCTCCACAAAGAGGACGTGCAGGGGGTACAAGGTGCTGAAGTAGAAGACATCAATGTTGTTCTTCACAGCCACCTAGGCATGGGAGGCCCCAGTCAGTCCCTGGGGTTTGACACCCTGGTTCTTGGGCTTCTACCACCTCTGAAGCCCTAAGAAGGGCATCCTAAGCAGGCTCTCTCATAGGATCCTCCCTTATAGCCATGTCCCCTTTTCCCTACCCCAGGCTCTCAACCCATCTGCAAGCAAGAGCGTAACTCTTTATCAGCCCCCTTGTAAATATGGCCAGTATTCATCCCAGGGCTGAGAATGGGCAGGAATGGAATGTCCAGCCCTGTGGGGGCACACCTGAAGATTGTTTAGAGGTTCCATCTTCATGACTGAGCCCACTGTGTTAAGAGGCAGGGAGATCTCCACGGTCTGGTTGGGGCTGAGTGGCGCATGTACCTGCAGTGGGGCAGCAGGGGCCAGGCCGAAGCTGAAGAGAGAGAAGCCCCCACAGGGGTTATAGAGGTATGGGTGCTGACACAAGACAGGTGGGTTCTTTGGGTTTAGGAGCTGGGCTGGTGGTAGATACAGAACCCCTTTACTAACTCGGCCTTTTCTCCAGCTCATAACCTTCCTAATAGTCATATGTATAGGAGACAAAAGCTTTAGGCTAGCATTCAACTCCAGTGTGGATGAAGGCAGAGGCTAATTTCTGCTTCTCTTTCTTCTCTGTGCTGAGTCCTGGTAGGCCAAGGTAGCACAGCCCTGGCCTTAACTTTCAGACCTCCATCCAACAGACTAGACACCTGGCCATCACTTTTCTAGTTGGAAGACTCTGTAATAGCCTAGGTTTACTGCTAAGCCCCACATCCCAGGAAGGATTTGAAAACCCCAAGTAAAAGCCAGATTTCACTGTGAGTCAAAAACTGACCAGGCCACACCATGACCACAGGCTAAGCCCTGCCTCTCGGGCTATGGACCAACTAGGAAGATCTCCTTAGTATGATAGACACTTAGCCACAGGCTTCTGGAAAGTGAGTCACAGTGGTAAGGATAGGGACCTGAACTGAGCACTCAGTATGCCCAGGATGGCATATGACAATATGGCAATATCTATACTTAGAAAAGCCAGAAAGAAGTACACCTAATTCCATCTTCCCGATGAAGACAGTATCAGAGACAGGTGATGTCCAGACCCCAGATCCTATAGGGCGAGTGGCATGCTGAGAATTGAAACTACAGCAAGGCATGTGGTTCCAGCTAGGCTCTCTACACAGAGACCTAAAACCTATGGCTCAGGGGGAACTCCAAGCCTGGATGGTGGTTCTGCACTCCAGGCTTTGCTGAAAATGCCAAAACTGCCTGGCTGTGACCCTTGGCCAGGGCTTTTGCTATGAGCTCAGGTATCATTATGTATTAAGAGAGGGAAGTAACATCAACTTTAGTGGACTGTCAGTTCCACTGACAGAAAGTCCTTGACCTAAAATCCGCCACCCAGAAGTATTCAATTACAGAGTTTGTTATGAGGAGCCATACACCTATGGCTCCAGTGTTCTGTGAGGTGAAGAGACATAGCTGCCACAGCCTTCTTAGTCTGCCCAAGGCTCTTCTGAGAAGCTGCCCCTTCAGTCAACTTCTTAGAGGCTCAGTTTGCTCATCACAAGCCACTCAGGAAGAGGAATCATCAAGAGGGGCTATCAATGTTCCCAGAAAGCCTAGCCGTGGTGGCTCCATCCATCATGGACTAGCAGGTATACTTCCCCGCCAATAAGCAACATAGAAGACCTGGGGAACAAGGAGCTGGGAGCAGCCACCATTCATTCCCTGAGGTCCTGATAATCTTTAGCTCCCTGGAGGAGGTTGACTGGCAGCCTCACTACTCACACATTTTCTTAGAGCTATTCCCCAACACGAGTGATGTAGGCCTGAGGGGGGAGGCAGGTGGGAGATAGAGCTTCCACTAGTGGGTTTCTGGCTTAGAGCTGGGATTTCTGATACAATACTGTCCTTTGGACATTGGAGGAAGGCAAATTAGGGGAGACACTGTCCCACCTCTGCCTTGTGCTTTGAAGTCCACATAGCAGTCATTAAAGAAAATGACTGCTGTTGAGTTTGGACTTTATCTAAGAGGTCATAGGCCCAGGGGCTCACCTGTTGCGATTGAACTGGATGGCAAAGTCTGTCATGACCTGCAGGGCCTTGTTAGTCAGTTGTAGGTCCATGGAGATGGAGCCCACCTGGCGGGTGAAGGTGCCTGAGATCTCCAGCCCCTTGGCCTTCATGGCAGGGAGCCAGACCTGTAGGGAAGAGGTTGGCAGGGGCTGTGTGCCCGTTTCCCATCCCAAGTTTAGGGCTAACAGGGGATCCTTCCTAAAGGGCCCTTCTGACTGATCTGCCTCTACCATTAAGGCATGACTGGTATACCCTGAGACAAGGAGGATGATCCTATAGCTCACCCATGGTGTGGCTGTGTATATCAGATAGCTGGAGATAGGGAGGTACTTGAAGGGCTGCTCTGCATCTTCAAAGTTCAAAGAAGGCAACATTGAGGAAGGTGGCAAGACAGGTGAAACCCTGCCAGAATCCTAAGTCAAGGACAGAGCTGAGTGTCCAATTGCATCCTGGACCCTCGCCATAGCCTAATGTCTCCCTGGCTGTTACAGCTTGTTCTCTCTTGCAAGAGATATAACCTGCCTCCCATTGAGGGAACTGGCCTGACCAAGGAAGAAGCTCTCATGCCTGCCAGTGTCCTGGCTGCCCTTGTTAACAGTTTTAGGCAAGAATACCTCCTTTGAGAAGTCTGCCTATGTATCTCTCCTTGCCACTTGCAGGGAGCACTGAGAAAAGTGTTTTGTCATTCTGTCTTTATAGCTGTGGCTCAAAGCCTAGTGTAGACCTGGTGTGTGGGGTGTTTACTGGGAAAATGGCAGGAATCAGCCTTGCCTATGAAAGGCAACCACTAGTGTCACTCTTTGGATATGCTGGTGCTTCTTATGCCCTTATTCTTCCCAACTGGCTCACTGGCCCTTGCCATCCAAAAGCCTCAGTCTACCAGGCAGCTTCCACAAGCACCCCAGCATCTACGTTCCTCATGCTACAGTTAAGCAGCCCAAGTTTTTCTCAAGGCTTCTGCCTCCATCTGCCCCCAGGGTCTCCACTTCCCTCTTCCTCTATATCTCCACACAGGTGGCTGTTCATATTTTTCTATCACCCTTTCACAGCAACTGGAATCATCTCGTAAAATACAGACATAATCATGACCCTCTGAAAAACCCTTTCCTATCTCAGATTGGTCTTCACAGCTGGGTCTACTTGGCCTGTCCCTGCTCCCTGCGATGTCTTGTCCGCTGTTACCCCAGGTGGAAAGCTTTTTCCTGTCCCCACATGTGGCAGGTGCTGAACACCATTTCCTGGACAGAAACCACCAGCATGTTCCCAGCTGTGGCATGCAAGAGAGCTGCTGAGCCTGGCCCTAGGCATGGCTCCCTCAGACCACTCTCCTGATTCTGCCTGCTCAGGCCTCTTATTCTTGCAAACTGGTCCTCTCCCAGTTATTCTGCTTGATCATGCCCATTAAGGGTGGGAATTTCCTAATTCAGTCACTGTGGGCTCCTGGAATCTTAAAGTCCTAACAACTCTTACTGACTGGCTGAACCACTGAACTGTTGCTAGCTGCTAACCCATGTGCTGGACCAACTTGAAGTTCTCATACACAGGGAGCCCCATACCAGGAGTGTCAGGAAATAGTTACTCAAGACAGATGAGAAATGTATGAAGGACAACTCCACTGGTCAGTGCTGCCAAGGAAGTGTAGACAACTTGTGGTTGCCTCTAAGGAGGTAGGAAAGTTGTGTACATTGCAAGGACTCCTCCTCAGAAGACTGCCTGATTATTTCTAGCTTACTTAGTTCCCTCACCTCTTATCAGCACTCACTGGGACCAGGTATAGTCATCTGGCCCTCCAGCAGACTACTGGTGACATCATCTGTTAAAACCTAGAAGTAGACAGGCAGCTTGTGGCTTTCCATTCCTGGTTATTCCAAGTATCCTGAAGACTAGCATCCACATGCTGCAGGACTCTGCCCTGCTTCATGCTTATGATATCAGTTGTTTTTGAGGCAGTATTGTGTTGTAGCCCAGGCTAACCTGGAACTTAAGATCTTCCTGCCTCTGTTTCTTAATGCTGGGATTAGAAGGGGGTACTACCTTCTATGACATGCTGATGTGTTTTTTTTCTGTGTATATGTGTATGGGCACACATACCATGGCGCACATATGGAAGTCCGATGACAACATGTAGGAGTTGGTTCTCTCCTAGCATGTGGAGCCCGGGGATTAAACTCAGCACCTTTATCTTGCTGAGCCATCTTACCAGCCTTGCTCAACACTCTTTTGAGAAGGGTTTCATGGAGCCAAGGCTGGCTTTGAACTCCTGATCGTCCTGCTTCTCAGGTATATATGCTGATGTTGGGCTTTTTTTTTGGTCTTTTTTGAGACAGGGTCTCCCTGTAGCCCCAGCTGTCCTACTATGTAGACCAGGCTGGCCTTGAACTCATAGAGATCCGCCTGAGTGCTGGGATTAAAGGCGTGCACCACGCCTGGCTGATGTTGGGCTTTTAATGGGTACAGCTTGGCGTGGCGCCTTGGTGTAGACAATCTTTTTTTTTTTAATTTTTATTTTATGGTTAGGCATGGTGGTGCACACCTTTAGTCCCAGCACTCGGGAAGCAGAGGGAGGTGGATCTCTCTGAGTTCAAGGCTAGCCTGGTCTATGTAGTGAGTTCCAGGCCAGCTGGGGCTAGAGAGACCCTGTCTCAAAAAGACCAAAAAAAATTTATTTTGTGTATGAGTGCATTGCCTGCATGCTAAGTGTACCCATGTCCTGCAATGCCCATGGAGGTCAGAAGAGGGCACTGCATCCCCTGGGAGTGGCGTTATGGATGGCTGTTAGGAGCCATGTAGGTGCTGGGCACAGAACCTGGTTCCTTGCAAGAGCAGCCAGTGCTCTTAACCACTGAGTCATCCCTCCAGCCCCAATGTGGATAATCTGTATAGTAGACAACTGAACATGGTTTATACCCTGTACTCCATGTTCTCAGGTCCTGCTGATTATGACAACCTCTTATGTTAAGGAGGTGTACAGCTAGGCATGATGGCTCATGCCTGCAATCCTAGCACTCTGGAGGCTGAGGCAGGACAACTGCTACAAGTTCAAAGCCAGCTTGGGGCTACACAGCGAGACCCTGTTCCAAATTAAATAAATAGGCATCTAAGTGTTCTCACTTTGGGGCACAGTGACATACAGGTTGAAATAGAAGCTCTGGAGTGGCTGCCCTGCCATCAGTTCCGCAATTCCACACTGTTACCAGCTTTGTGGCCATAGGCAAAAGCACACAGATTTCTCAATTGTAAAATGGGGATAAGAGCAACATAAGGCTGTAGGAGGACCTGTAGGCTGATGCTGCAGAAGGCTGGTGAATGCCTGGCTTCAAGCCTACTGCTGTAAAGCTGCTTTATGTGGACCTCTCAGAGTCCAAGCTTGTAAGGGGCCTGCCTGGGGCTCTGGCCACCACCTTTGTAGGTACAGCAGGCACACTGCAGGGGAGGCCAAGAGGACAGGGCAGGTGCTGCTCATGGCTCCCACCACAACAGACCTCTATGGATCCCTGAACCTCAAGGTTTCAGCAGACATGGCTTCTGACCTATGTGCTGTGAGAGAGGCTAGATCTGTCCTTGTGGTACTTCCTTGACACTGGTGACATGACCCACACCATGTTCTCCTTAGTCTCAAGCCCACATGTTCACATCCCAAACTCAGCTCTCCTAACCCAGTGTTTAATGCCTCCCTCGCAGTATCCATGTTTACATCAGAGCCTTCATTATCCTGCCATTATCATCTCTGGGAGTTCTCATGTCAAGTCACTGTCTCCACCCCCCAAAGCTGCTGTTGTCTGCTGTAGGCTGCTAGCAGCACCCAGCCCTCACTGACAGTCTCCTCTGGGCTTTGGAAAGCCCCACCCCTTCCTTGGAGCCAAAGCTTACATGCTGCAAACCAGACTATTTTATCACTTAGCTCTGAACCCTCCAATGGCTATCACTGAGCCTGGATCAAAAAGAGCAAGTGCTCAGTCTGGCTCTGCTTCCCACCTCATCCACCTCTAGTTGAGCAAAATGTCTTGAGAGGTGACACTGCCCTTAGGAGCACCCTGGGTACTTGTGGGTCATTTTTTAGACAGCAAAATGTGGGCAATGGGAAGCACTATGCTTGGGGGCTGGAGACAGTGATGCTGGACATTCTGCCATCATGCAACTTTCCTGCATCCTCGGACTCTTTTCTGCAAGGTTTACATATATAGAGATATATAAATACTGAGAAGATCCCAAGACTAACTCACAGGGAACCTGGTCTGTCTTTTTGTTGAGGGTCTCATGTAGCTCAGGCTAGCCCTGAATTATGTAGTCAAGGATAACTTTGAACTCTTTGTCTGAGAGAGGGTCTCACTATGTAGGCCTGGCTGGCCTAGAATTCACTATGTAGATAGGCTAGTCTTGAACTCGGAGATGTGCTTGCTTCTACTTCCCAAGTGCTGTGATTATAGGTGGGCAATGCCATGCCTACCTATTCTGTTTGCTGAGAACTTTACTGGGAGTCAGTTGCCACTTCAGAAATTAGCATCACCATCAGCTACACCATTCACACTGAGCTGCTAATGCCACCTATGGTTGTCACAGTGACATTTCTGGCATGTCTTTTGGGGCAAATAGGTGTGCCCATGTTTGCAGCATTAGACTGTGTATTTTGTATTCTCTCTTGTCTCGTTCATGCAAGATGGCAAATGGTTATTTTTTAATGTATCTGTAAACAGGTCATCTAGTCCACCAGTTTCCTTCAGAGACAAGAAATGGGCACCGTGAAATGTCCTTTGTTCTTGAGGCACTGGATCTAACAGTATTGAGAACTGGTGACAGACAAGGCATCCCTTCAATGCTTCACCATAGGCTGTTCCCAGCTGCAGTGCTTTTCCCACCTTTGTTCAGCAAATGCTAACCAGGCCATCTGAACAAGGCATCACTACATGGGGAGGTCAAAACAGAGGCTGCCAGGACACTGGACCATAGCCAGGGCTCAGCAGGGACAAAGCATTAGTGTCTAGAGTCATACCATATGCCTTCAGGCTGCTCTCCCATCTCCCGTAGGCCTGAGCTCATTGAGGCCTTCTCTGATCCCATAGCACAGCTTTCCTTGCCAGCACCTGAGCCAATTCCCTGGCATGGACCTATTGGTGCAGTCCCATACCAGTCTTTTTTTTTTGAGTCTTTTTTTCCCCTGTAGTCCTGGTTGGCCTGGAACTCCCTATGTAGATCAGGCTGGCCTTGATCTCAGAGAGATCAGCACATCTTTGCCTCTTGAGTGCTACCACGTTTGGCTCACATCAGTCTTTGTAACTTCTTTTGCTCCTGCCAGGAAAGGTGGTGAAGTACTTACTGCTTTGGGAGCTACATAGGATCCTGACAGGGTGCCCACACCACTGGTCAGGTCAAAGAGGTCACTCAGGCCACTGCTGATGGGTGCTCCTAGTCTGGCTGGTGCTGCTGCTGCTGCTGGGGGTACCCCAAAGTTGGTGTCTCCAATCTAGAAAAGGAGAAGAGATCAGAAACACGCATTGGAGGTAGGGACACTAGGGGCCCTGGAGTAATAAGAGTCACCTGGCTCTCTAGAATATAGGAGAAGACAGGACATCCCTCCACATCAACTTTAAATTGCAGAAACAAGACAGAATGAGGTGGTGGAGAAGGGAGGCTGAGCATTCTTGAACCCCACAAGCCTTGAACTTCAAGAAATGACCTCTGGGATAGGACTCAGCCCATAGTTAAAAGGGGGACCCAAGATGCACTGCTGGGAAGGAAGTGCTAAGCACACAGTAGCTCTTCCTAGGAGAAAGGATCAGGAACTGAGGACCAGTAATTCTCAGGATGACAAGGCATCATTATCATGGGGTGACACTGAAAAAATTTGTGGACATGGGGGCCAGTGCCAAGTTCGTGCCAGGAGATCAAAGCAGAGGCTGCCAGGACATTGGACAACAGGCAGGGATGAAGGACTGGTCACAGAGGGTTGAACCGTACCCCTTCAGGCTCATCCCCCATCTCCAAGCAGAAGCAGGCAAGGTGAGGAGACAAGTAGCAGCATGCAGAGGAAAGGCCAGGAAAGAACAGAGAGAAACAAGAGAAAGGAGAGAGATTAGTTAACTGTAGCTGTAGCCAAGATGCATTTGTTCTGAGGCCCAGAGCCCCATCCCTTTGAAGGGTACTCTCCTCATGGGCTTCACTCTGGAGTCCTCATACCCTGTGAACCCTTTGTACTTTTGTCCTAGGAGCACTCATTGCCAGACTCCAGCTTATACTCAAGGGAAGGGTTCAAAAATCATCTCTGTCTAGCCCCACCAGTTGCCCAAGGAAGCACAGAGAGACTCTGGGCCAGGTTCACCACTTCTCTCTCTAAGGGCAGAGGGAAGTTTGGTCTCTGACCTTCCATGGAGGCCTGGCTGGGTTGCTTGATATCCCCAGCTAGTATAGCCTGAGTTCCTCAAAGCTAGGAAGATCCCAACAGGATGCAGGCAGAATAAATACTCAACAGAACACCCCTTGGCTGATATTCAGCACAGAGGGGGTTCAAGGTCTGCTCCTCTAAAGACCATTAGTAACAACACCTGGGGGGCCCAGAACATACCAGGCTGTCAAGGCCACCACCAAGAAGGTCCACAGCTCCCATTTGTATTGAGGAAGCAGCCAAGGGTGGGCCACTCACTGGGGGGCCAAGGTCCAGGTTGAGAAGGTCACCCAACAGATCACCCTGGGCAGGGATGACATCCGGCTGATCACCAGAGGGAGCTCCAGCAGGAGCTGTCTCAGGGCTCTCTGTGCTCTCGCTCCTGTTGGACACAGGGTCAAGTGGGGTAGGGTGGGGGTGTTGGGATGTCTTAGGGAAGGTAAAGAGACCCCAGTCTCCAAGATCCTCAAGATAGGCACTGGGTAGCCTCACTGTCCCAGCAGGCTGTCTACACAACTCTATGTCTCCCTATTTTCACAGCTGACTGGGTCAGCTCTGCATATTCTGGCTCAAGCTAAAGAGGAAACTGGAGGCCAGTCCTCAAGGACCATCATCAGGCCAAACCAGCCATCTAGCAGCAGCAGCAGAGGTGGTTAAGAACAGGGTTCTGGAACTAGATAGCTCTTGTAGCTGTGGGTCCTGAACTGGTGAACTTTCCACACCCACTGCCTCTACCTGTTAAGATACTTTCTCAACTACTCAAAGGATCAAATGAGGTGATCTAGTATGTAGTTAAGGTGGCTAGAATCCTAGTTTGCCTTACACTAAGGCTTTGCAGGGGTCATTATATGTTGCCTGAACGCATACACTAGGCTGAGAGAGCAGGGAGTAGTACAGCCCAATGCCAACCAATTGCACTCACGAGGCAGTACGAGGTGGCAGGCTCTTGTGCACCACACCCCGGCCGCCCTCCACAAACGCGCTGGGTGGTTTATGGTAGACAGAGGCCAGTGTGCCAATGTAGCAGATGAGCTCGTCCAGCAGTGTGGGCTCAATGAGGTCTGTCTCTTCTGAAATGAGAGGCTTCTCAGCCAACACCACCTCCTTAGCAGCCACAGGATCCGTGGAGAGCAAGCGCCAGTAGATGTAGCCACGGTCCCGAAGGTCTGGGTTGTCTGAGTCCTTGACAGAGTTTAAAGAGGTCTATAGAACTCCTTCCAAGATAAGAGGAGGGTACCCTCCCACAGCCCCATCATCTAGCAATCCTGAGTACACCCAAGAACCTGTCCCTAAGCCACTTCAAGGAATATGTCCCAGCTACCACCTTCCAGCTAGGTATCCTTGTTTTTCTATTTCAGGTAGGTCATGGCTACTCCTGTCTCCATTTCCAGCTACCTCCCTACCTTCAAGTAAACCTTCAGGTTCCCACATAACCCCTCTCCCACTTTTATCACCTATTTCAACTTCACCCTGTGATTCCACCACATGTGCATCTGTCTCTGACTTCCCAAAGGCAGGGAGCTCAGATTACTTTGGCATCAATCGCCACACATGCCATTCTCAGGGGCAAGACTAACTGGAACAAAGGAACAAAGTTCCCCTCCTGCTAAGTGTGGGTTGTATGGGGAGTGGTAGGGAGGCCAGGACACCCACTTGAGTGGCCAAACTGAGGACCTGCTGCACCAGCTCCTGGGTCTCTGTTGGTTTCTTCAGGAAAAGCTTCACAATGGCTGTCAGCAGCTGTAGCTGGACCTGCAGGGGGACAAAACAAGATAGGTGGTCTGCACATGGGCAATGGGAAACCCAAGTCCGTGAAAGCCAGCAGCAGTTCTTTTTGAGACAGGGTCTCATTATACAATCCTTGGACATGATACAATATACCAGACTGACCTGAATCTCAGAGATCTGCCTGCTTCTGCCTCCCAAGTGCTGGGACCAAAAGTGTGTGCTGCCATACCTAGCCAAGAGCTCGTCTAAGGCTTGGAGTCAGCCACAAAATATAGGCCAAGGCAGAAGTCATGGGTGCTGCTGAAGATCCAAGATCTGGAGCTGGGCATTGTGCTATTTGGCAGGTAGTGCTGCTACCAAGCCTAGATGCCTGTCAGAGCTTCAGGCCCAGAACTCAAAGTAAAGCTCAGTTTCAAAAGACAACATATGTGACCAGTATGCTCCTTAAAGGGACCACCAGTTAATAAGTGGTGATGGTGCCATGGAGGCCCAAAGGACAGCCAGCAGGGTTCCACAGAGCTAGCCTGCCATTGAGGAACTGCATGCTTACCAGAAGGTAGGAAGCATTCCAGCCTCTTCCATCAGCCCATCCAGATATCCTGAGCCTAGCTGACACTCCTCAAAGTCCTCATGCTGACCCCAAGCCCCACACTTCTGTAGCCTACTGTATTTCCTCATCAGTGTCATCAAGCTGTTCTGTGGCCATAGTTTTCGGTGGCCAGATGGTGTCTGTCAATTCGCTATGTGATTCTATACTGCTCAGGCTAGTGCCTAAGGAATAGTAGTACTTACAATTCATGCTGGCTAAAATAAACATGCAAGTAATTGCATATCATCCTTCCTAAGCCTCCTCCCCTCTCTCTTCCAATTTGGGACAAGAAAGAAGCCTAAGGCTCCAGAACCAGGGCAACGCCAAGGACAGGGAAGGTAGGAACAGTGGCCCAGCCAGCTCAGGAACAGCAGTACTGGCAGCAACTCCTGGCCTGGCCAGCAGGAGGGTATGTATCGAAACTCATGGCTTCAAATACCCAGCTTGCAAGGTAGCCTGACAATGGAAGAATGGAGAGGATGGGCCAGTGAGATAACTCAGTGAGCCAAGATACCTGTTGCCAAGCTGATAACCTGAGTTCAATTCCTGAGATCCACATAGTAAGAGAGAACCAACTCCCACAATTTTCCCTTGACTTCCATTTCAGCACTGTGGCTATGCCCCCACCCAATAACTTTTAATGGAGAGGATGTAGTGTGCTTCTGAAACTGAGCCATCCATAGCTCTTGACATCTGCCTATAGGTCAGTGGCAGAGAGCAAGAGCTGGCTAAGGCAGGAGCAAGCCCAAGACATATCTTCTACCATCTGGCTCTAGTCATTCACCTTTGGTCAGTGAAGAAGAGGTATGGAAGGTTGGAGAGATGGCTCAGTGGTTAAGAGCACTGGCTGATCTTCTAGAGGACCTGGGTTCTAGAGGACCTGGGTTTGGTTCCCAGCACCCAAGTGGCAGCTTAAAATCATATGTTACTCCAGTTCCAGGGGATCCAAAGTGCTCTTCTGGCCTCTTCAGATACCACATGCATGGTATATTACATGCATGCAGGCAACACACAAAATGAAAAAAAAGAAAAAGCAGTCTAAATCAGGCATAGTGGTTCATGCCTGTAATACCAGTACTCAGGAGGTAGAAGCAGAAGGATCAAAAATTTCAAAGTTATCCTTAGCTAATAGCAAGTTGGAGGCCACCCTGAGATGTATGGAGACCCTGTCTCAAATATGCATTCCTGGGGTTGGGGAGATGGCTCTGTGGTTAAGAACACTTGCTGTTCTTCCAGATGATCCAGGTTCAATTCCCAGCATCCACATGGCAGCTAACAACTGTCTGTAACTCCAGTTCCTGGGGATCCCATAGCCTCTTCTGTTGGGCATTGCACGACACGGGTGCACTTACACATATACACATAAAATAAAAATAATTTAAAAATATATTTTATTTTTATTTTATGTGTATGAGTGTTATGCCTGCAAGTAGGTAAGTGCACCTGTGTCGTGCAATGCCTGCAGAGGTCAGAAGAGGGCATTGGATCCCCTGGAACTGGAGTTAGGGACAGTTGTTAGCTGCCATATGGGTGCTGGGATTCGAACCCAGGTCTTCTGCAAGAACATTCTGTGTTCTTAGCTGCTGAGCCATCTCTCCAGCCCCCTTAAACAGATTTTTTTTAATGTGGTATATGCATTTGTGTGCACCTATGTGTGTGTGAACACAGATTACAGGTACACACTGACATACCCAGCTTTTTAAGTGGGTGCTAGGATCTAAACTTGAGTCCTCATGCATGTGCAATAAGCACTTTACTCACCAAGCCATCTCCCCAGTCCTTAACTTTTTTTTTTTTTTTTTTTGGCTTTTTGAGACAGGGTCTCCCTGTAGCCCCAGCTGTCCTGGAACTCACTATGTAGACCAGGCTGGCCTTGAACTCACAGAGATATGCCTGCCTCTGCCTCCCGAGTGCTGGGATTAAAGGCATGCTCCACCACACCTGGCCTTTTTCTTTTTTTAATTTTTAATAACCACATGATTAGAAGAAGCATTTCACTACAGCTTTAACATATTCAGTAACACACTCCAGAGCAAGAGTACATCTCTTTCACAAGTGGCTGCAAGTTTCTAGGTTCACAGTTGAATAGTTATACAATACTGAACTCAGTATAAGCCCCTGTAAGACATAAAACTGAATGAGTTTTTTAACCTTTAAAAAAGATCTCCATTTCATTTTAGAAAATATTGTTCCTTGCAGAAAGACTCATTGTTTTTGCTACTAATGCTGTTGGCGCATGCATCTCTAATCTGTATGTAGCTAATTATTACTAGTCATAATCGGTTGCACGTGGATCCTTGGTGCCTGTGTATGTCTACAGTCATCAGGTAGATTTCAATGGTAATGTTTATCACCTCTACTACATAACACGATGTAATTAGTAGATGTAATTTCCATGCTTCCTCCTCAAATATAATACATTTTTAAAAATTTGATTGTTTTCTGTGTATCTATATCACACAGAACATCACAAACCATCTTATTCAACTATACACCCGCTTCCCAGATGGCACCCTCCTATAGCCTCCCCCCACAACTAAAGCCCTTATGGTCTGTCATCCCTGCTACTGTCCACTGTGTGGTCAGCACCCAGCCGTTCCCCACTACTTGTCCATCCGGTGAATCTAGTCAGCCTATATAGAGGTCTTTGTTTTGGGAAGATCTGTTCCTCATCTAGCAGCAATCCGTTGTCAATACTCCTTTAGATAAGATTGGGGTCTGCTGTTCATTTTCCCAGTTCTATGCTGGTTACTATTTGGGAGTCCCTTGGGCCACCCTGACCAACAACTCAAAAGAAGGTATCTCCTATCTGGCATTGTTGCTTGTTATGTAACCTTTAGCTATACATATGGACTCTTATGAAATTATATTGGCTCCCTTAATCTTTGGTTATACTTTCCTTTTGGGTGTTTAAGGTAATGCAGTTATATCTGATTTATATGTGAGT